GAAACTAATTTTTTCCGATGAACATTGAGCAACCGGAAGCGATTTTCTGTGTTCTCGACGTGACTGGAAACGAATTTTTTAAAATTCATTCAAATTTTCTCTTGAAAATACTCAATCTTACTTTTCTTGTTCGCAGTGAAGCACCTGATCTACAGGTCGGATCTGCTGTTACAATAGTATTCTGTGATACAACTGGTTTAATAGGGGTTTGTACCGTTGCTGCAGTTATGGCTCTGAAAGCAATTTCATTCACAACACATTATCACAATTTGCTGAGAGAATCCTGGCACTTCTCGCAGTTGATTCATTTTCTTGTGTTAATTTTCTACCAAGTTTCTCAAATATTTCACGTCTTCCTTCGGCTGCTGATTGAGGATTTTATAATCTTTATGCATGCCGTAGAGCTCTGGTCAAGACGATATCCTTGCAATCCTGGATGTAGCTGAGCTGGACGCTCGTTGATTGATTGCACGAGAGTGTTGAGGGAGGAAATCGAAACAACGCATTGTTTGTCACCTTGCTTCTTGATAGACTGCATCATCAACCGCTACGCTAATCCACCCCAAAGCAAACAAAATTATAATAACGAAGATCATATAGACAAATATATCCAAGAATTCAAGTTCAAAGGAAAGATATTCACTTATCACGTTCATCAATACTTTGGTGTTGAGTTGTGGTGGTTGGCGCTGGCGTTACTGATTCAAGAGATCGTGCTGTTACTATCTCGCTGCTCGACTTGCGAGCTGAAAAACAAGCAGCTTTGTTTGATCTTCACCGGAAATCTTATAGCTCATTCAGTTGAGGTCGACCGTTCACTTGATCCGTTCATCGCTTTGCCATCTTCAGTTTTGGCAAAACTACTAATTAATCATTTGCGTCACATTTCTAAAATTTAGCACTATTTCAACAAAATTGATCCTTTTGCATAATTTACCGTGTAGAATACTAAACAGAGAGCGTTAGTTGTTTGAGTAACCACCATCTATTCTATTGTTTTTCAGGTGTGGACAGTTCACTAAACGTGTCCTGCAGCAATGTTCACAATTTGTTCTGCGGCCGTTCGAATGGCATCATGAACCGTTGAAGGAGGTGCTTCAAAATTTTTCAAATTACAGATCTGCTTGTTGCTTGACCATAATCCAGACCGCTCTTCAAATAAACAACATTTTAGTTGGGGATTTGCAAAAGTTTAAACGTGAAACGGGAATCGAACCAGCATTTCACCTTTTCCTGGACTCTTGCTAACTAATTCCACTACCGACACTTTTGTTATGCAATCACTCATTGTTGTTTTCAGTATACTGAATGCGACTTGCTGCACCGTTTCCAATCGGTCCATCGCCTTAGTCACAGAAACCGTTGTTGCGCTTGATAAATTAATCGCAAGACAGCAAACTTCATTTGGGAAGAGCCAGCAACTTTCAGTATCGATGTCCTTACACCTACGAGCATAAAAATCTCGGGATTTTTCTAAGAGAAACTGCTTTCAACCAGAAGTATCAGTAGTGAGCGCTAGACAAAGAGAGAAATGGAATAGTGATCCTGGCTTCTATGAAAACTGAGAAGAAACCGTCAAGGTATCTTGCTTTATTTTACCGAATCAAGCAGTATTCTATGAGCAAAAATAATTCCACTATCTTGGCCATCACAAATCAGTAAGTTTTCCCTCTATTTGAGGAAACAAAGTTAGATGAAACTGCATGATATTTTTTTTTGTTCTACACGACTCGTCATCACATTTTAATATGAGGATTAGCGCATTCGACTGCTGCTTGAAGATGGCGACTTCATCATTGCTGTAGAATGCTGGTAGAGTATATCTCCTTGCAATCTTGGACTAACCCAAGGTAAGGTGTTCCGTAAGGTGTTCTTTGACTGATAACGAGTGATGAGGGACGGAGTCGGGAATTCAACCGGCACTCTGGTTCTTGATAACTTGTATTACCATAACTGACCCCTCGGCCACAGCGTCCCATATTGCCTAATATTGAGCTGATTCAAAAAAATGAACTCACCCAACGGGGCACCTGTTTTGTTCAAAATCTTATAACAATTCCGAATAACTTCACTGAAAATAACATTATACAATGTTTTATTCGCTGTTGAGGAGTTATTCGCATTCTAGATAAATCCACTTATACTGAAGTTGGAAAATTCATGTCTTCCGTATTGAACCTGTTTTCAAAAATTTACGAACACGCCTAGTTTTCGTGGAGTGCCAGTGGGACAACGCCTAATTCGAATATTGCGAATATCCTAGTTTCTTGACAGTAAACCATTTGCAGGGGTCATAAACAGGACAGGATAGCAGAAAAGGCATTGCTGTACCGCTCAATGTGTATCAGTGCTATGAAAAAAAACTTCTGTATTACAAAAGCAAAACCTCTCGGAAAAGAAATAGCATCTAGAGAGGTCGTGTGGGCTACTGACTCATTCCAAATGACCTCCGTAAAGGCCATGTGTAGCAAAAATATTGAGTACTACTTATGGGGTTGACAAATTGTTTGTGCAATAATTCCTAGGATTATTAGACTGCTACGATCTTATAATAAACATTCTATTCAGTTAGCCGCACATGTCTTCTACAATTACTTCGTGTTGTTAAATAATTAGAGAGAACATTGATTATTTATACCAAAATCAAAAGACTGTTGATATGTGAACTTTTACCAACTGATTGACTCCGTCGGAACGGTGATGGATCGATCGCGCAGCATGAATATGCAATAGACGCGCGATTTTTGCTACTTAATTAGAGTCCGCGGTTTCATGAGAAACCTTCAAAATTTTGGTCTTACTCTGATACGCCATAATTTCTTCTCTGCGCTCACATGCTTTGACGTTTTGAAACTCTTTTGTGCTGATCTTCTTCCTGCTCCCACAGCAACAGTTAGAGACCTTTTCAGATGTTGATTCAACTTCAGAAAATTTCGTAATCTATGCTATCAGATGGTTACCAAACTTACAATGAGAAGTCATTCACGGACCCTAGTCTGTAAAAAATGCGCGCCACACGTGAACTGTATTCTTATTTTCGCTCCTATACTATGATAAAGACAAAAATCACAGTGCTGACTTTGCGGCAATGAAATCTTTCAATTGCTAGGCGGTCAGGGGCATAGCCATGCTCAGCGAAAAAGGTGTGTTAATAATCGTGTACTTGGAGAGATGCACGCCGTTACGAACGGGTTAAAAGACAGTAACATTTGTTCAGTACCACTAATAAGCGCCCGCCTTTTAGTTTATAAGATAACCGTCTCGAACCTTTTCATCTCTTCCACATTAACGGTGGCTTTCAGTGAGTGAAGCGTCATATTCAAATCAACCTCAGTTGCCAAATCCTCGTCAGCAAACTCCATCAACTTCGCTCCTTCAAGCGCACTTGCCACAATAATTGTTAAGCTATCTAGTTTTCAAAAATTACCGAGTGTTTCGTCATCATACGCGCAGAGCAGCTCCACTGACGGTGGAGTGGGAACCGAGGGCGCAGTCATTCGGGTGAAAGTCCAGTTGAGCGTGGTGGAAAGTTTGGAGCGCGTCGCCTCAGTTAGACCTTGGCCACTCTGAAGCTCTCTTTATTATTCATTTCCATGGATTTTTTTTTCTAAAACTGAGCTCATTCAAACCTTAATCAATCTAAACGTGTTTCCCAATTCTATTGCCACTTTTCTCATATCAATGCATAGAGCTTCTATTTTCTCCAGCATATCAAACGTAAGCCCTTGAATCTCTGTAAAATTCACCATATCATGTGACTCCAGTATGAATTGAAAAGATCATTAGACAGACTCCTTTAATACTCTCCTACTCTACCTGATGTAATAAAATACCGTGTTTTACGTCGATTGTATAGGATCAAGGAGGCATACATGTCCATAATGAAAAGTTTTTTCCTTTCTAATTGCCGCAAAACAGCGAAAAAGTCAATCATTTGATCAAATCAGTCACAACGATTTTTGATGCATTCACTCGCGGACAAGGTCAATTGACTATAGATCCATTAAAAAACTAGAAATCATTGTTCAACACACGTACTTTGGATGTCATCAATCATTTTCAGGCACATGTCAATTGCATCCCAATCCTCAAATTCGTTTCTGAACTTCATTCATGAAAGCAGAGCTTCATAGCATCCAAGGGAAGTTATAAGTTCTCACGCCGTCGTAGGAGAATCGATCCTTTCTGCATCATTCAGAGTGGATTCCGACTCACTTGTTGATCCTGTCAATGACCCGTCCATCTTTCTAAACAATGGAATGTTTTAAGCATTCAGATTATGTGGCATTTGCTTCTAAATAAGATCATAGAGAAAAAAGGGCAAAAATCGAAACGCGGGATTGAATCTTAGGGTTCATACAAAGACGTAACAAAAAATTTCAGTTTCAATTCGAAAAAAGCGATTTCGCCTCCGTTCAATAAAAGGCAGCTACTGGCAGTTTTCTTGCTTACTCAACACTTCATCTCGCTTTCTTCTTAAGTCAGATCTCTGCAGCTTTTCGTTATCTATATCATGTCTTTTATATCGTGAGATTATTGGCACATCTTTCATTCAGTGAGTTTTCTCACATTCGTCTCACAAAAGTCTCAAGCTTGTGAAACTAGAGGTATTGCCATATTCACAAGCGTTCCTAAGTGCTGATTAAATGAATCCTTTCCTGGAACACTGTAGTAGCTCAACTAAAGCGTTCCCAAGAGTCTTCTATAGAAGAAGCTTTTGCTACGCACTCTTGGTGGCAAGTTGCTGACCTGTTGAAGTTTAAAGTTATGTTGACCCCTTGCGAGATCGAATGAGACCACTCGAGTATTATTCCCATCGTCTCTAATCTCTACATTTTTCGAGCCTCTTAACATCCGGAAATGCAACGGAATTTTGACAATTCTCGCACGTTTATGTTGTTCTATGACTCGGGATCGTCAATCTGACATTCGCTCAGACTTTGACAATTGCCGTTCTCATTATCATGTTTCTGCTGTGCAAAAGAGTGCTTGCAAAATGAGCGTCGGTGGTGCAGCGGCTAGCACACGCTCCCGGAACGAGTGAGATCTGGGTTCGAATCCCTGCTGTCGCACATGTTTTTGCAGAGCACTCCACATTATTGTGTATGTCATGTTTTTCCTTACGATAATTATGGATGACTAGTACTGTTCGCATTATGAAAGGCAGCTTCAACTCCGAGACAGCGAATTAGGATATACTATGCCGTTCGGGCTTTTCCCTCTAAGCCATCATTTTCAGATGCCCTTGTGTAACGCAGTGATTGGAGCTTCGCTGTCGTTAAGTACCCTCGTGTTTACGGTCATTTCCATCCACTCCATAGTCAAGGAAATTGGCAACATGCATTATGAAATTGTCACAGGAGTGCGAGAGGTAAAGGTAAGTTCTGTGCGGATTTACACAAATATCTAAGCTATAATTACCATCCGAACAACTTATCACACAATATTCATCAATCCAGTGAAGTTGTTGAAAAGTAGCACTCACATAGCTTCTTATTGCAGAAACAGCTGTTTGACTCTCACCTACGGTCAACTTATTACTCTATTCAGGCGATATCCGACGACGCGTGGATGCGGATTCGAACGCTTCATACCTCGAGAGTGAGGTCCGACTCATCCCACTCGCATAAAACATTATTCACGCGCGACAAGAGGTCACATGAGAATTACTGTGACTGTCGTATGGAATACCATGATTGCCCTCCTGGACCTCAAGGTCCGCCAGGAATGCCAGGGGAACGCGGTGAACTTGGAAGCACTGGTGACCCAGGACGACCAGGAGTGAGTGGATTATCATTACTGTATGTGGTTCCGTTACCGTAGCTTTTAGTAGGAACTGACATGAAAAAGTTTTTAGAGCAACGCATAGGATACCAGGAGGATGCTTTCTTTGTCCGGCAGGTCCGCCTGGACCAGACGGAGAAGTGGGAGATCCTGGTGATCAAGGATTTCCCGGAGCACCTGGACAACCGGGAGAGTCTGGAGAAGATGACGTGATCGGTGAACTGGGAGCAGTGGGAGTTGAAGGAAGTCAAGGGCATCTAGAATATGACGGGTACCCAGGGCCACCTGGTGAGGATGTGATAATTGGGGCACCAGGTCTTCCAGGATTACAAGGAGCGCCAGGCTAGACAGGAGCACAAGGTGAGCAAGGAAATGAGGGGAAACGTGGAGAGGACGGTGCAGTGGGGATTCCCGGACCACCAGGACGTTCTGGATATCCGGGTAGAGATGGTGACTATGGAGCTCCTGGTAGACCTGGAAGAAATGGTTTTGCAGGGGAAAACGCTGGTTACTGTCCGTGTCCGGAAAGAAGTGAGATCAGCTACTAAAATCTCATAAATCTATTGTATCAGTTTTATGAATGTTAATGAGTCCTCTTATATGCAAACGCAAGATATAGAGGTTTTCTCACCCTAGAACAATTTCCCGGTAGTGGTGATGTCTCACCATAGCATCCTTCCATTTTGGAAGCTCTGTTATATCCACTGTAGTAAACGCATAAGATTCAACCTGAAACACCCGCTTCTCAAATTCGATTTATGAACACTTATACCGCATGTGACGTCGCAACTAATATACTGTATATGTATATATAAATATACATTGGTTAATTTCATATATATATGTATATGAGTATATATATATATATATTTACTTTATGAATAGATTTATATATATGCATAACAAGAGCAAAAAACAAAAGCACAGAGGGATAGTACATTAAACCTCGCCTATATACTGTAGGAGCCAACGGTATGAAATGAGCACCCTGTTCATGATTATTGAACTCAGAGGATTAGTTTTTATAACTAAGAGAATTGAGTGGTGAACAAAAACTCGGCCTCAGGCGGGAATCGAACCCACGTTTCATCCTATCCGGGTACGTGCCTCAGTGGTGTAGTGGTAGAGCACGCGTCCCCGGATAGGATGAAATGTGGGTTCGATTCCCGCCTGAGGCCGAGTTTTTATTCACCACTCAATTCTCTTAGTTATAAAAGTAACGTAATAACACTGCGAAAGAAGCAGTGAAAATACTATAATTTCAGAGGATTAGGTTATCATATTCGTGAAAAACAAGATATAAGCCAAGTGATCGTGAAAAGATTTAAGCTCACTCTGAATACAAGAAAAAGTGACCCATCTTCCTCCTGCAGCGAGATCTGAAAAAACTGGTAAAGTTATTGAAAAGAGCGCATGTGGTATAACGGTTTGAGGTGCTCTGCGTCACACAACAGGTCAGTGGTTCGATCTCGCGCTCATGGCTCAACAAGCCATCCATCCCTTCCGAGTCGGGAAATTGGTGCCAGACTCGTCTCAGACTTGCCTTGGAGTATAAGTAGCATTGACTCGGTGCAGCGGGACCACCGCGAGTCATTGTAAAGGCCACATATGCATTCAAGCACTTCAGATGAAGTTAAAAATCGAAGACTAATGCATGGCGCATCCTTCAGGGATTGATCAGGCCAAGAGCTTTATCCTTTATCCTTAAAGTTATTGAAGTTCTTCTTCGATATTGTATTTTGCGCTATTCATGAGAATCCACCAAAAATCTATGGACATTAGTAATAATTTCTTTTCATGCCTTATTAAATCTCACTGATAATCCACTCACTGAGCACTGAGCGCGTGTGTCACGATGGTTAGAAGTGCTCTACGACACAACTGGTCGATGGGAGTAGGACATCGCGAGTCATTGTAAAGGCGGATATGCATTCAGTCATCTCAAGCAATGCTAGATGAAGTCGAATGCATGGCTCATTCCCCTAGGGAATGACTAACAACAGAAGCTTTATCTGTTATCCTTTTGTTATGATCATAGTTGTTATCTTCTTCATTACTTCTCTTATCAGCAATCAACTTTATTGACGAATTCTCTTCATTTCATTACTTCTGTAAGAATGCTCGGGAGAGATTGGAACTGTACCACTTTTCTTCTTCTACTGCAAGCTCTTTTTCTTATATATGTAGAAAAACCTACACAATAAGCCTCAGCAGTTATCGATTTATCCATAGGCAAAAGAATTCCGCCTTCCTATCCAGAAATTCCAGACTATGAACGGGTATGAAGTACTCTGATATGGTCATTTTCTGATGATTGCAGCAAACACTGACATCATCAGGTGTAGCCGAGGTCGTTGAATGAAAATCTGATGCGAACAAATTACTTATGTTAGCCTATTAATGTGCTAATTCAATGTTTTTACCCTTTTAGAGAAGTCTGGCACGAATCAAGTGATCCTAAAGGAAAACACAGCTTTGCAGGCCCGAAATGCTCGATCGAACCAACGACAACTTGTTTGGCAGTGCACCCGCTGCAGTGGAAACGCCCGTCTTCGTGATAGTGTTCACCAAAAACAACAACTAGCTGGCCACTTGTTATCACTGAGCAATCTTGACAGCTACGTCTCTGAATCACTTACTTTTCCAAGATCAATCCCATATTTGTGTTGCTCGGTGTTACGGTTAGTGAAAAGACGGAGAAATCCTTTGGCGAGTACGGCGTAATAATTACTTGTGCGGTTCGAGTTCTTCTCTTTCAGTCTCAAATTGATGTTTCCCTTCAAAAGTAACTCTAAGTAAGCAAGAAATCTTTCCACAAAGTGATCATTCAAGATTTTGGGCATTAAACGCCAATTCATTGAATGAGACCTTTGCTTATTCTAGAATTATGCTATGATTCTACCCAGTGTTCTAGCAATGAAAAACTCCCCCATATATATCGTTACCACCTTAGCCAACGTCTCCACGATTTTCTTTGAGTCGACGATTATATAACTTGAAGCCGAGATCCTATACTTACTAGAGTTCTGTCCATCCTTACCTCTAATTTTGGCAGTTCTATATTTCCATCTGCAACCACGTTCCCATCATTCTTCACGTCATTACTGTTGGCCACTTTTTTCATCGTCACCGCATCCGCATCCAAGCACAGCTAGTAACAAATGAAAAGCATTTGTAAATGAAAAGCTTTTATACGGGTGGACAAATCAATCCATCAGTGATAAGGCGTTTGTCACGTTCAACATATCAGCGAAGTAGCCTGACTCAACGTTGATGGAAATAATCTAATTTCTCGACCTGTAAGTAGCTTGTTTCAGTTCATAGTGAACTGTGTAAGTGAAATAGAAACAACTAGTACTCTGAGCCATATGGACGCTAAAGTGTCCATACAGTAATCGCCCGCCCTTTCAAATCGACTCTTTGAAGCGAGATTTAAAATTTTTCCTGTTTTCTTCTGAAAATCTAACGAAAAACAATTATCTAAAAAACCCAACAGGTTCCGCCTTCTTCGGATCTCACAGAAAATAACAGAACAGGCGCAGATAGATATCGACGCTTGAATCGCAGACTCCCTTTGGACGTCCGGAAAGCGTTCATTTGAGACGACCATATTTGGATCTTCTAAAGTTCTCACAATATATTCATAAGTTGCTTTTCCTCGGCGAGGCTCGAGGCATCGAGGTGATGATGAAACGCGATACGCGAATGGATCGTCAATATTGTTGCTGGCTGCATTTGAGCTTAAATGTTTGGAGCCTTGAACTAAATACCTTCTCTAGAATTTGCTTTCCAGAGGAGCGTTATAGAAATCGAAGCGACGTGCTGAGATTATTTTTAGCGAATTTTCCCATAATTTGCTTCTCATTTCAACACTTTTGCTGAGTCAAATGTTATCTATTGAAAGATTAGCCCTTTTGCTGGGCAAAGGTCAGATTCGAGGTGATTTTGAGCTGGTTGTAGTCTCCAATTTTCTGCGCCTGCACATGCTGCTAAAGAGTGTGGAAGAGATAATAATCCGATAGAGCAATATCAGGACTATGCGGTGGATGTGGGACCGTTGTTCAGACTAGTGTCTCCAAAATTTAGAAAGCTGACTTCACAGTATGAGGTCGCGCATTATCCTGGGTTTTGGGCGCTTTCCCTCCACTGATGCTGCCAACTAGCGGAATTGTTCTTCATGATCAGCATTAATTGCCTGCTTGTTGTCAGACAGTTACCAGAACGCATGCCTTGCCAATTCCATAAAAGCCGGAGTATAATTTTCCGAGCATGAATCTTGAGTTTTGGT